CTACAGCAACTGACGATAGTTGCCATTCGTAATACAAATTTTCTTTCCAGTTGCATTGCCAGCTGACAACCGAAGCGTGGTTGTGTTGCCATCCGTAATCGACCCATTAATTTTTCAAGATATGGGCTGACTTGAAAAGCCGGACAAAAAAGAAGATTGCCGAAAACACACGAAGACTTACTGCTGCCGGTGGTGGCCCATTCCGTCACTCTCCGCTTTCCGAAATGGAGCAGGCCATAGACAGCCTGGTTTTTATTTCAAGGTCAGCAGCCCCGAGCGGCAGAGTTTTCGGCATTCCTTCGACGGCGACCTCTAACATGTCAAGACATTCGTCGTTGGAGGAAATGCCTCCTTTACTTGTGACACTTGACCAACGAAAGCAACAAACAACCACCCTTAAATCTCCTATAAGGCACAACCAACCACTACCAGTGGGAGTAGTGACTCCCACTACACAGACAACCCGTCCTACACCAACGCACACGTTACGTTCTACTAATAGGAAGTGTACCTTCCAAGAGACAATGGCTGAATCTGCCAAAGTCCAAGCAGAAGCCGCTAAAGTGCAGGCTGAGGCTGCAAAAAATGGCAGAGGCATCAATGCTGCAGGTGGATGCCACAAACAAATTAACTGCTGCAGTGGAACGCGAATCTGCAATTTTTGGAGTACTTCCGGAATTAATTTTCATACCACTATTGTGAGAGTAATGAAGTGAAATTTTATTTTTTTTTTTGTATAAATATTTTTTAGATTTAAGTGTGAATTGACATTTTGATGCATTTACTTAGTTTATATGTAGATTTAGGATTTAAGACTGAAAAGATATTTTGTTGAATTTTTATGTAAATATTTTATTAATTTTAAGACAAATGAATTTTGCTGGTGTACCTCAAATCTAGACACACATACTTTATAATAAAACTGCGTTTATAACAAACTCTCTGCTACTCTCATTCTAATAAGGGCAGCTGTATTCGAAATGTTACTGTTTTCAAGTTCTTCGTAACTAACAAGATTCTCCATATCTGGGCTCTCCAATGGAATTTGATGTTTGAAAAATATACAAACGTTATGAATAGCACAGCACACATTTACAATTTGTGTAACTTTTTCTGGTGAATAGTGTAGCCCTCTCGAGCCAATTATACATCGAAATCGGTTTTTCAAAACACCGAAACATCTCTCAATTACATTACGAGCATTCGAGTGCTTTGTGTTGTAAATTCGTTGAATTTCATCGGCTGTGCTTCTGAATGGCGTCATCAAGTATGGCTGCAAGGGGTAACCAGAATCACCCACAAAAACTTTCATTGTCAGTAATAGTTTTATAGCCTTTTTAAGTTTTAAAACTTACCGTGTAGCCATGTGTTGGTTTTTCCATTGTTATAATCAGATTTTAGCTCCTGTTCTGCGTGACCCACATTAGTTGCGTTCCAGATGCTTCACGATTTGCAGGTTTTTACAGGAAGTCCCATAAGGTTTATTAATGGGGAAAACAGCTGTTCCTGCAAATCGTGAATTTCGTGAAGCATCTGGAACGCAACTATTCCAAACAAATGAATCATGATTCGCCCCTGGATGCCTAGCGTCAACAAATGTGATTACCATGTTGTGATCGCATATCTGTAAGGAAACTCAGTTTGTGTATGTGTATACTTGTAAAGATAGTAAATCATTAACCTACCGCTATTACATTAAGACTGTAAAAACGCTTGCGGTTGAGGTATAAGAGGTGGTTGTCACTTCCTGGCGACTTAATACGAACGTGTGTTCCATCAACACAACCAATAACCCCAGGTATTCCGTATTTCTCAAAGAAATATTCTTTAACTGCATTTTCCTCATCGATGTTTCTCCTAAAATTCACCCATTTCTGGCAAAAATGGTCCTCAAAAATATTTAGGCATTCCCTGATCACGTTGGCTGCAGTTGACTGCACCATCGACGAAATATTTTCGTTACCAACAGATTGTTGGAGGATGGTTCCGTGCGCAGAAGTGGAAAACTTTTGACTGCCATTCACCTGGGAGTGGCCAGAAGCGATTCTTGTGCGTACGGTTCAAATCGCAGCTCACAACGTCCGGATATTTATATCCACGTATCCTCTGGGTAGCAACCAAACACCCGTTTGGGAGCGAGCTAAAGTGAGAAGGCGTAAAACTTCGCGTGCGCTGGGTTTGGGTCCCGCCACGTTAAAACCCCGCCCAATGAAAAGAAGCAAACAGCCTCGGATGAGACCCCCTTTTTCTGATGACGACCACGGCAAACGTATAAAGGACTATGATTTAAGGGTATGCACCTGGAATATCCGGACCCTTAATGGGGAAGGTGCCTCTGCCCGGCTGGTTGATGTCCTCGGGAAGACAAAGGCTGACATCACCGCCATCCAAGAAATGCGATGGACGGGGCAAGGTAAAGTAAGCGTGAAGCCTTGCGACGTCTACTACAGTTGCCACGTAAAGGAGCGCAAATTCGGTGTTGGATTCGTGGTAGGAGAGAGACTCCGTCGCCGAGTACTGGCGTTCACCCCGGTGGACGAACGTCTAGCCACAATCCGCATCAAAGCTAGATTCTTCAACATCTCGCTCATCTGCGCCCATGCCCCGACGGAAGAGAAGGATGAGGCGTCCAAGGATCTCTTCTATGAGCGCTTGGAACGTACATATGAGCGCTGCCCCCGACATTTCCCGATCATTAAGTACCGCCGCCGAAGAAGTAGTTGGATTTCAGCGAGCCCGAAAGAACAACTGGTACGATGAGGAATGTCAAGAAGCCGCAGAGAAAAAAGATGCCGCCTACAGGGCCACGCTGCGATCGGGCGCAACGCGAGCCATGTGGGACCGTTATAGGGAACTGAAGAAGGAAGCGAGACGTATTTGCCGCAATAAGAAGAGAGAGGCCGAAATACGTGAGTGCGAAGAGCTTGAGATGCTGGCCGACAAGAAGAACGCCCGAAAATTCTACCAGAGGGTTAGGCGACTTACGGAAGGTTTCAAGACCGGGGCGAACTCCTGTAAGAACAACAATGGCGACCTAGTGACCGATGTCCAGAATATACTTACATTGTGGAGGGAACACTTTTATAACCTACTGAATGGTAGCGGCGCTGAAAGTAGTGAGGAAGACGAACCCGAGTCCCCAGTCGATGATGATGGAGTAGCTGTCCCACCGCCTGACTATGACGAGGTACGAATAGCGATTACGCGGCTGAAAAACAACAAAGCTGCTGGAGCTGACGGCCTGCCAGCCGAGCTATTCAAGTACGTCGGCGAGGAGCTGATGAGGTGCTCGTATGCAGAATATGGTCAGATGAACGCATGCCCGACGACTGGAATTTAAGTGTGCTCTGCCCAATCCACAAGAAAGGCGACCCCGCCATACGCGCCAACTACCGCGGAATTAGCCTTCTAAGCATAGGTTACAAGGTCTTATCGAGCGTATTGTGCGAAAGACTGAAGCCCACCGTCAACGAGCTGATTGGACCTTATCAGTGTGGCTTTAGGCCTGGAAAATCCACCATAGATCAGGTATTCACAATACGCCAAATCTTGGAAAAGACCCGCGAGAATAGGATCGACACACACCATCTATTTGTCGATTTCAAAGCCGCTTTTGACAGCACGAAGAGAAGTTGCCTTTATGCCGCGATGTCTGAATTTGGTATCCCCGCGAAACTAATACGGCTGTGTAAAATGACGTTGAGCAATACCACCAGCTCCGTCAGAATAGGGAAGGACCTCTCCGAGCCGTTTGATACCAAACGAGGTTTCAGACAAGGGGACTCCCTTTCATGTGATTTCTTTAATCTTATGTTGGAGAAGATAATAAGAGCCGCAGAACTGAACCGCTCAGGCACAATACTTTATAAGAGCGTACAATTGCTGGCGTATGCCGACGACATCGATATTATCGGTAAAAAAGGGCTACGTCTGTTCTGCCTTCTCGGGATTGGATAGAGAAGCAAAGCGAATGGGTCTGGTGGTGAACGAGGACAAAACGAAGTATCTCCTGTCAGCTCACAAACAGTCAGAGCATACGCGTCTTGGCACCCACGTCACTGTTGACAGTTACAAGTTTGAAAAAGTAGACGACTTCGTTTATTTGGGAACCAGCATTAACACCAATAATAATGTCAACCTTGAAATCCAACGGAGAATCACTCTTGCCAACAAGTGCTACTTTGGTCTGAGTAGGCAATTGAGAAGTAAAGTCCTCTCTCGTCGTACAAAGATCACACTCTATAAGTCACTCATCATGCCTGTGCTGGTGTATGGCGCGGAAGCATGGACAATGAAAGCATCTGATGAGGCGGCTCTTGGAGTTTTCGAGAGAAAGATTCTGCGAAAGATTTACGGACCTTTACGCGTTGGTGATGGCGAATATCGCAGACGATTTAACGATGAGCTGTATGAGCTTTACAACGATATAGACATAGTGCAGCGAATTAAAATTCAGCGGCTCCGCTGGCTTGGCCATGTCGTTCGGATGGACAGAAACGCTCCTGCTCTGAAAATATTCAACGCGGGCCGCGATGCTGGTAACAGAGGAAGAGGAAGGCCTCCTCTGCGTTGGAAAGACCAGGTGGAGAAGGACTTGGCTTCACTTGGCATTTTCAATTGGCGTCAGTTAGCACAGAAGAGAAATGACTGGCGTGCTGTTTTGGACTCGGCCAAAATCGCTTAGGCGGTTACAGCGCCAAATAAGAAGAAGAAGAACAGATTTTTGGTAACTGCCGGTGGCGAGAAATCTTTAAAAAGTCGCGAGTTTTAGCTGGTGCGATAGGTGGGTGCTTCTATGTGATGTGGCCATGTGCTCTTTTAATTCATTTAATATGTATTGGAATTAGGCCTTCGTAACGGCGCAAATTTTTTGGCGCTGGCGCACTAACTCCAGCGCCACTGTCGGAATCAGCACAGTGTGTTGGCGCAATTGCGCCTCTTCAGGCTAACCGCTGAAACACAATGCCTACGAACGGCGAATTTTTCGCTGCGAATGTTCGCTGTAAAAATTAAAACATACTGTTCTATATGAGAACGCACGCAACCAAAGCAAACGATGACGTTCGTCCGACGACTGTTGGCAACGATATACTTATTTCTATCGTCGTCGCTGACGACAGCGGAAAAATACGATCCATTGTGGCCATATGCTAAATATTCTCAAGTTTTTAAATCGAAATTGAAAAATACTGTATTAGTTTTTGTTTGAAATTAATAATCTTATTGTTTGTAAAAACTTTATTGTACCTTGTCATAAGCAGCTGAATTCGTTGTCGCCGTAGTTGTGTTTTACTGAGCGAAATTTTTGGGCGAAAGTTGCCGCCGTCGTCGCACTACTGTGCGAAAATTCGCTGTTCGTCGGTATTGTGTTTCAACGGTAAAGCTCATTTCTTTTATTGCTGCACGCTGCACCAAAGTGAATTAATACAAGGTGATAAAAAACTCAAGTATACTCAAGTTCAAAACCCAAAAATACAACAAACCCATCATTTTCACATTCAGAAGGACCGCGACGAATTCTAGCAACACCACCTTGTATAAATTCGCCTTGTGCTGCACATTTTACAA